TTCCCATTTTCCAAGAGGACAGTTTCAGAATCAAGAATGATGCTTCGAATCTCTTGGTAGAACCAAAATCTGGAATGAGCAACTGAATGTTCATCCAGTCTCCCATTGATTTCAATATAGCCACTAAACATTTTATATCTTCAAGTTTCATGGTTGCTTGCTGGAGACTGTAGAGACAATAGTGTTGTTGCTGTACAAGGAGGAATCAAATATGTTTGACGAATTGACATCGCAATCATAATTGATAAAGATATCTGCTAAGATTTGTGAACCAACACAATGTTTATCCAGAAAATGTAGAACTATCATCCTTTGCTTAACTCGAATCTTGAATTTCAGGCCAGCTAGAAACCTCGACACCAAAATAATGAAAATGGAGCCAGAAAGCTGGAAAACAATTAATAAGAGTTCTTTAATAGTGACAGACTCAAGTTCTGCATTATGCCACCTAAAATAACATTTGGTTATTTAGTTTGAAATTTTCCTCAACATTTGAGCTTTGATTTAAAATTATTTTGAAAGAAAACTCGAATTCAGCTATGATTTTATCCTAAATTTTTTAACGGTTGGATTTTGATTCAGAATTATTTTGAAAGAATTTAATTATTTATAATACTTAAAAATAGTAAAATGGTGTAGGAATTAGTGATGGTAGAGATGAAAAAGAAGAATATGAGAAAAGAATTAAATAAAACAGAAAAAATATTTTTAGTAAAATTGAACAAATCAATGAAATATTGAGCATTAATCTTACTATTATATATATTAGGCTTAATATTAAAAAAGTGTTCAAATTATGTTTCTTTTCCAATTTAGATATTTAAAAAAATTCAATCAATTCATATGTCTAATGTTATAAACATTATCTTTTTGTGTGTTTCAATCGTAAGAGACTTAAAAAAAGTCTGTAAGTGACACATATTACATTTATATTTTTTAAAAATTTTATTTTTATTTTTAAAATAAAAATATTATTTTTAAAAATATATTACGTTTTTTTTAAATCTTCTACTCCCCCACCCCCACGCGTCATCCCCCTTCTCACCTCTCCCTTCACTGCAGCAAATTAAAATGTTTACTGTGAACCAACAGGGGCAGCATCGACACTATTCTCCCATCTAAATCCTCGCGTATTAATCGCCACTTCCATATATGAACACCGGCGAGCAGATTTTTCAATCTGATTGAGATTTCGAAATTTAGGATTCTGATTCGGGGATTTTGGTATTAAAATTTAGGGATTTCGGATGTAATGTTAGGGGAACGAGTAAGGAGTTTCGGTCGGTGAGGCTTTGATCGCAACGTTGACCGATTGACAGCATTGATAGATGTCGGCGAAGGTAAGGGATTGAAATTAGAGATTTTAGGAATTTTGAGTTTTTTTTATAATTTTATAAAATTTTAGGGTTTTTTCAAATTATAATTTCAAATTTTTTACTTCAAATAAATTTTTAAAATTATATAAATGTGACATGTGTCAATTAACAAACTTTATTAATATCTGTTACGGTTTAAACACTTAAAATGATAACGTTTATAACGTTAGACACCTATATTAATCGGGTACCTAAATGATAAAAAAATATAGTTTAAACATTTTTTATATTAAACCTATATTTAATGATGTGTGTCACTTCTGAGTAATTTATTGTTATCATGTTAAAATTTGACTATTAATATAATTGATAGTGAAATATTTATATATAAAATTAAAATAAAGAAAAAGATTTTGTGAGAGAAAAATCATTCAAATAATGAGATGGATTTTTTTATTCAAATAAGGACTATCAAAGTTTATTTTCTTAAATTGATTGTTTCATATAACAAATTAGGAAGACGCATGGATCACTCAGCTTTTTTATGAAGACACATGGAAGATTTGACTTCTTCCCAATCTCTCTAGATGCGAAAATGGTAATGTTGTTTGTTAGTCTCCTTGAACTGACAAAAGAGTTGGTCGAAAATGATGGAGGAGCATACGTCATAGATGAAGCTTGGGTTGTTGGTGTCCTTAAATTGGTCGGAGATGGCGGAGCAAATACCATTGATGAATTTTGGAAAGATGAAAAAGACAAGCACAAGACCTAATGCGGGAATACATTGCGTCCTTCGAACGTCTTTCAAAAGACACCAAATGATTTGATGACTTCCAACTTCCAATTAATATTATAACATTCACCCAATAAAAAATCTCCATCACCCTATGATATAAAAATTATTTTCTTACTACATTATCTCAAAATATTTATCATTTTATGACATTGATGAATTCGTTATACTATATGTACCAAATAAACAATTAACATCTTATTTTTTACAAAAGTAATACAAAACTTATCTAAAATAAATCTTATTTAATTATTTATTACTATAAGTAGAACTAAATAAAATTTATAATAACATTTTAAATGAGACTAGATTTAATATAAAGTAAAATATGTTAAATTCTAAACATTAATAAGACTCAAACTTGATTCGGCCTATAAACTTTTTTACAAGTCCCTAGTAATTTTAAAAAAAATAAATAAATCTCAAATGCAAATAAAGAAATGTTGCGAGACGCACGCCACACCTTGATATGGACTAAACCCACCCATCGACTCGAAAATGAACGCATACAATTCATTAATATAATGGAACTAAGCTTAATGTTTGATAGCTCTATATACGAATAACTTTACAAGAAGCCAAAGGCGGACACCGTGTCCCTAATAATAGTTAACACAGCTGCCTATATTTTTCTTTTGGGTAAACTACAAGTTTAATATCTAAATTATTATTTTTATTCTGTTTTGGTATTTAAATTTTTATTTTTTTCAAAGTCATACGTAACGTTTAGTTTATGTTTCATTTTAGTATCTCATCATTAAAAATTTAACGGTGATGTTGACGTGTCACCATAAGTAATGCCACATAATCATTGAAAAAATAAAAAAATATCATGTTAGCAGTTCTGTTAATTTTTTAATGGTGAGTATCAAATTGAAACATAAACTAAATTTATGTATGATTTTGAAAAAAATAAAGTTTAGGTACCAAAAGAAAACAAAAATAATAGTTTAGATAATAAACATATATTTTACCCTTTTATTTTCCATCAATGTGAGGTTAAGATTTTAAGAGACACCGGGCTATAACACAGCCTCAAACATCAGATTCCCAAAGTGAATATGTTTTTCACCCTAACTCGGGATAACCAAGAAAGATACAAACTATTTGCATAAAAATATGTCACGAAATAAAATATATTTCATAATTAATTATTGAGTGATTTCAATTATAAAAGATATATTTTTTGGCAAAAGGATAATTTTTGCCCCTGTCTGTAGTAGACCTAATTTATCATTTTGCCCATATTGTATTTCCGCATCAATTTAATCATCGAAATTATTCAATTGCATCATTTTATATCGTACTTTTCACTTAAAATCCTAAACTGATGACTTTAAGTTAGGGACTAAGGTTTGGGGTTTATAGTTTAGAGGTTATAGTTTAGGGTTTAGTGTTATCAATTTAGGATTTTAAGTTAGGGTATGATATAGAATGATGCAATTAAACAACTTTGATGGCTAAATTTATGAGAAAATATGATAAAAGTGAAAATAATATATTGGATCTACCTCAGGGTTAAAAGTGACCCTTAATCTTATTTTTTCCCAAAGAATTTGAATTTGAATGACTATGTGCATGGGTGTATACGTTACCAATAACTAAAAAATATTAAAATAAATATTATTTGTAATTTTCTCACACTATCTAATCAATATAAAAATTTAGAAATTAAATTCAAATTAAATTATCAATATTTAAAACAGTGAAAATCTTATTCCATCATATGAATAAATAATTGAAATCAATCATTCATATCCATACCCATTACAAAAAAATGACAAATGAACCAAACATGTCAATAAAATTGCATCTCTACTTGTATGCATATAACCATTCCAAACAATCCACAAGTTTCAAGAAGTATGACATGGCCCTTCTTTCTGTTCCACATCATATCAAACTACACACGCAATTATTAAAAGATTTATGCGCAAAAAATCATGATTAAAGCATGTGATATATTATTTAAATATGATATTTAACAAGTGTTATTACCACACTAGTTGTATTTCTCGTTCAATAAATTAATTAATTACTGCAACCACTTTCGTATGCCTTAACAAGTGTTATTACCAGACTAGTTGTATTTCTCGTTCAATAAATTAATTAATTACTGCAGCATACACCTCTTTGTTAAATGATCACTCAGTCGTACGTCTTTAAATTTAATAATATTATATACGTACCAAAAATAAACACTTCCACGATCCTACAAAACTTATTGCTATACAGAGTAAAGGTAGAGCCGTAGTGGTGAGGTCAAGTGGCAATTTAATTTGCCTAATAAAATTTACATGATTTTTATTCAAAAATTTATTGATTTGATTTAGAGGAAAATAGGAAACACAGAACCCTAAAACTGTGGGCTAAAGCCTAAAAATGCTAGTTTTTAGCAGTCGGCCAGATGCCATTGCAATGTTCTAGTATCACCAGTCTGCCACCAGTCACTCTTCATGAACAAAACACTGCTGGAGTTGGGACCCATTTTGGGAAATTCATTCTAAGGAAATATATTCTAAAGCTATTTGTTCCCTTATGTGTCGCGGCCAGATTGATGCACGCTGCCAAATGCTTCACTTCCCTGGTAAGTATTAAAAATAAATTTAAGTTTTTTTAAAAAAATAATATTTCATTTTACTATCTAAATTATTAGATATGAATGATTTTTACTATAATTAAATCAAACAAATTATTTATTAATATTTAATTTAACCAATTAATCTAGATTGAGTTTTGTAAAGATATGTTAAACGACCATGAGAACACAGTTTCCTACTGATAAGATACATGATATACACCATAATGTACTAATGCCAGTTAATGCGTCTACCTTTTCCCAATTATTCTATCAAAATGTTCTTGCTTTCCACCCCTTGAATCATCGTCACCTTTTTTCAACTTTCACATTAAACAAAAAGAAAGCAATTTCTTCAGGGACGGACTTTTACCCATCTTGTCCACTTTAGTAACAATGAGAATTGATTCAACCGATGAAATATCAATAAATTATAAGAGAAAGGAGAAGCCATACATAGATGAGAGTAAAATACTAACTTAGGCGAACGTTTTTCTTGATCTCTTCCTAGGAAAACCCTTTATATAAACACCCAAAACACTGAACTTTATACTCAGACAAGGCCCTTTTCTTCAATGTTAAAGGTTTAGCAGGGATTATCATCACAAGGATCGAACAACTCAGGCTCAAGCTTGGCCCTACAAAGAGGACAAACCGAGTGCTTCGAGAGCCAAGTATCAGCACATTGCAAATGAAAGCCGTGACGACAACCGGGAACCATTCTAGCCGATTGATCCGCCTTAATCTCATCGAGACAAACCGCACACTCGCTCCCCAGCACAAGGTCCTTCCCGGTAACCTTGGGTAGCTTCTCAAGCTCCGAAACAGACAACCCTTTCTCACCCACTTGCTTAACCGATGACGACCCTGAATTATCAGCCCGATAATTCGAGGCATACCATAAGAGACAGATATAAACAATGAAAACCGCACTCATGCCGGCGCACGGAAGAAAAAGGGCTAATAAAACAGAAACCAGCATCGGGTGCTGGTTGCCGGCGAAGGTGGTGGTGTTTAGGGCAGGTTGTGGAGAAGGAGAGAGGAGAGGAGGAGGGGAATAGTGCACGCCATGGCGCATAATAATCAGCTAGTTAATGGGGAAGTGTTAAAGTTTGGGCCTTTGGGGAAGGCAAAGGAGAAGGGGTTATGGAGGGAGAGATGAGAGAAAGATAGGGTGGTAACTGGTAACGGCTATATTGGGCAGGGAAATTATGGAATTATTAGCGTTTTAGTTATAGAGAACAGAGCTGAGGCGTATCGTGGCAGACACGCAAAAAGCCCCCGAAACGGCACTGACGAGTTTACAGTTAGGTTTTTATGTCTAATCTCCGTTGTATTTTTCTGCTGAAGTGCTTGCGAAAACCAGTGGCCGAGTGCATGGGTGATCAATGTGATACACCAATAAGTTATGTTTTAAAGGGACCGGATATTAATTTCCTATGTGAAATAATTTATATGTTTTAAAATGGATGAAGTTATGTATATTTATTTTAGAAAAATGATAAAAAAATTATGATAAATGATATTAGAACGATTATTTGATTGTTTGAATTTACATTAATTGATTAATGAGTCAAGTCTTAAAAAAGTGAGATTTTAATCCCATGTTGAAAATCAATGACTCAATCAATAGATTAATAGAATAAAATAAAAGATCATTTGATTTTATGTGAACTGATATTGTCATGTGTTCGTAGAAATCTTTCGAAAACTACTAAATCTCCGCTAATAAAGACCCTCAAAAGATTCGAAATTTTGAGTAGAGCTTTCAAAAGTTTCTCTAAGACACGGCATCATCTTCGAAACCATCCCTTGTTAGATCGCTTTCCGAAGTACGTACTCTTCAGTTTTGTGACCTTTGAAGGAGTCAAATTTGATCATTAACAACCATATGTATAATATATCAGCCTACTAATATGCATGATGACTCTAGGTCTGACACCAACTGTTAAAGGATCATCATAAAAGTTTATCAGACAAACTTGACGGGAATTGGGAGCTCTTCTCTCCACTTTCTTCTCATTCTTTACTATGATCCTTTCTTTATGCCTCTGTGTCTCTGACAGGAAAATACTAAGATCGAGTCCTCACCGACTGTGATTCTCTGTACAAATAAGAAAGATAGAACTATTAACCGTTGATGAGACCAGATTATTCTCATCAACAAATAACAATATTAAAAAAAAGAGAGAGAGATAGATCAATCAACTTTTGAAAATATTTATATATTTTTATTATTTTTAAAAAAATTAATGATTATCAACCAACCAAACAGATTAAATAAAAACAGTTAATTTAATTGATTCAGTCATCGGATCAATTTTACAACCTTATCTATTCTACTTTAATTTTAAAATTAAGCATATATGTAATGATAGATTATCATTACTAATTGTGTGAGTTCATTCCCACTTAAGATAACTTTCATACTATTAATAGTTAAATTAAGAATGAAAAATGTATGACTTTGTTGAAATTAAAAAGTTTCTCTACTTTTGTGGTTTCCAAACTAAGATTAAAACAAGTGTTGTGTTGTAAATTGATAATGGATTTAAAATAAGATTGAAAACAGAAAGGACTGGCAATGGATAGTGGAGTATGGGCAGAGGGTGAGAATTGCATCTGACAATTGGTTAGAAAAAAAATGATTGGCAGGGAGATTTGGTTTTGCCCATTGAATTCAATTATATAATTAAATATGATAATGGTACCGCTAAATGTACAATTTCACTTTTAATTTGTGGTGTGTGGGAGGGACCATTGATTTAGTGGGGGTTCCTTTCACCTAACTTGTTATTAAATTCAATAGAAAAGGATAGACTTTGGTATTAGGCTTAGGCCACATGTCACACCCCAATTTAGGAGTTGGATTTTTTATTTTAAGTGAATTTAAATGACTAAATTACAAGTTCTATAAACTTGCAGCTCAGTTTCGAAACTCTTGAAATTTTAGGGAGCTAACCCTGAATTATCTTATTTTTCTAATATGTTGAAAAAAAATAAAAACCAGACCCCAATTTGATAATCCAAAGTAGTCTATTGGTGAAACCTAAACCCCAAACTCATCAACCAAGCTATCCTCGTCGCTCCGTTCGACCGCCGTTCAGCGCGCCGTGGCTACCGTTCGACTCACTGACAATCGGCGACCAAAACCCCTCAAACCCCTCGTCGTAAAACGACCCCTAACGTCGTAATTTTCGATGTAAGATTCCATCGGTTTCAACCCTGCTGCCATAATTTTCCTGATTTCGGCAGATCCGACGGTTCGTTCGCCTCACGCCACCCTAGGAAGACTTCCCAGCTTCGTGGGATCAAAACCTGATCGACGAGTGAGGTTGTCGTCGCCATTTTCGCCGATCGCCAGAATGGGCAAGCATTTCAGTCCTCTTCTTTTAATTCCGTTGGTTTTTGGCTGAAATGTTGATGTTGGTTAGATTAATTTTGTTAAGTAGATGAACAGGGAGTGTTCGGTCGCCTGGAACTGCCTCCGTCGCCATCGCACGCACCGCCACGAGCCGACGATACGCATGGGGCTTGTTTTAGCCCAAGGAAATTTCCAGAACCGGGTCTGGTCAACCCAACCCACCTACCTGACCCGCTTAACCAACCCGACCCGACCCGGTTTTACCTGATCCGAACCGTTGACTGGTCTGACCGTTTACCGGTCTAACCGTTAACTTTGATCGGTCAGACCGTTGACTTTGACTGAAATTATTTTATATAGGGTACTCTGGGACTCTGGTATGACTGAAGACACTGCCAGGTTCAGTCGATATTGGTAATTCCTTGTATAGGTTCATCACCGACTGGTAATTCGTTATGGACCTAACTCTTGGGTGGGCTCCTAGGCCTAATGGGCCTAGTGGTAAGACCTTATGGATCTAAGGTACTCTCTTAGGGATGCTGCTATGTGCTTTTGGGTAAGACCTTATGGACCTGAGGGCACTCCCCTCAGGTGGGAACCAATGTTTTGGCTAGGGTAAGACCTTATGGACCCAATGTGCTCCCTTAGGTTGGCTTCTACTCCCTTTTGGGCCTAGGGTAAGTCCTTATGGATGCAGTTCTGGGGAACTGCATATGGCTTTCGGTTGGAGGGTTATACTATGATTTTTAAATATACGTTTTAAATTGCTACTATTTTGAAAATGATATGTACATTTTCACTGGTTTTGTGGGAACACACTAAACAACCTATTCTGATCTCCTGAATCCAGTCATCCGAAATATTTCCCTCTGAACTGAAAGCTTACTGTCTGTTACTACCTGAGATATCAATGTGACCTCAACTCAGCCTAAAAGTCTGTAGATTTGAATCAATAATGAAACATATGTTTATATGTTATATGTATGTTCTTCAGCATAATTTGGTAGTTTTGTATTACTGAGCTTTCCGAAGCTCACTCTGTTACTCCCTTTTTCAGGTTAAGAGAATTGAACCAGTGTAAATATTGACGTCAGTAAGGGAGTTTCGCCGACGTTGCTTGCGGAGTACAGTGCATGTGATTAAGGGGAATGTAGCTTGTATTATGTTTTTATATTCGAGTCTAGAATCTATTTTATTTATGAATATTTTTAAATTTTATTGTTGTGTTTATAAATTGTTTTATGATTTTACATGTTTAAACAAAAAATTTAATTTTTTGGGATTTTTACGGTGGGTCGCTTCGGTGACCCTAATGTGAATCACCCACATCGGCCCCACATTCTGCCTGAGGGGGTTGCACCACATATCCTATGATTTTGCAACATATCATTGTATCTACAAAAATAATAATAGTTTAAGTGGAAAGTAGCTTGATATCGTTTAAGCATGTCTCAAGTTTGAATCCTTATGTACGCAAAACAATTCCACTAATAATTGTTAACCATTAAAATAATGAGAAAGAATTATTTTTGAGAGATGTAATCATTTTGTGATCTTTGTAACTTTTGGAGTTTATATCGCAAAGATAAGTCTTATAGGGATATTGGAAGAGTGATTTGAGATGCTCAATGTTTTGGTATAATACTGAATTCTATGATACATGAGATATAATGTATTTTTACCCTTTGTGATCTTTACATTTATAGTGGATTATTATTCTTTTCATCCGCGGAGGTAGACAAGACGGCCACATTAAATCTTGTCTCTTACGTATGTCTTATTTTATGTTGTTATTGCATATGTCTCAAAGTTAGATGAATATACTAATCGTATTATGAAGGTCTCTTGAGTCAAATTTTGAGTTTAATAGGATTGGAAATTTACCTAATATTTTTACAATGAGAAATTAGTCTAATTAGAGATAAAAAAGGGAATTTTTTAATTTAAGAGAAAAGGAGGACCTAGAGTATGACTTTCTCGTTAAGAGAAATTATAACTGATTTAAGATGATTTTTAACTGCGTTGTGGAAAGCCTTTATTTCTTCTCATTTCCAAAAGTTTATTCTTCATACCTTCACTTTCTTATCATTCTCCTTCATCCAATCAAAGGATTCATATTTCATCCATTTTGTTTTCCAATCCGAAATTCCAAAGTAAGATTAATGATCTATGGATCATAAGCTCCAAGATGAGCTCACCACTTCTTCAATGGTGGCCATGAGTTCATTTGAGGTTTTTGGGAGGGTTTAAGTTCTAAGAGCTCACTCTCATGATTCCTACTCAAAATTTCATAAAAGTAGTTGTTATTAAGCAAGTTGTAACCATTGTTTTGATGCTAAAAATGCAACAACGTTAATTTTACAATGTGTCGAATTCGTCAAATAAAACATTTTAATGTCTAATAAAAGATAAATTGTAGTATAGAGAAATATGATCAATTTACAGAGACTAAGGAAATTGATAACGTCGTTTCCTGGTTTGATTCAACTGAAAAAATAAATAAATAGGAGTTTTAGAGAAAAGGAAAATAATTAAGTAAAGATGAAAAATAAATAAAATTATTGAATGGTGAATAATAAATGAATTCATATATGAAATTTTTTTAGCCTTAAGCTTTGTTAGCATCAGTTTTGATTGTTCATAGAAATTAATTTATCCTTCTTCGTTAGTGCAATGGTTACAGTCTACAGGAACCAACCCCTGCAACTAACCATTCTCTTAATTAATCGATTTCAAACCAATAAAAAGTTGATCCTTGTTGAACGATCTAACCACATCAATCATCGTTAGGACAATGATAGAAAATACCTAACATTTTTATATGATAAAAAATAAAGAAAGTAAAAAGAAAAAAAGAAAATAGAAGCCTAAATTGATAAAATAAATAAAGAAGTACTCAAATCCAATCTACCCAAAATGTTGAACTTCAAGGGGTA